ATGTGTGGTGAAGTAGAATCCTTTGTAGTTATGGCAACTGAGAACCAGACTTTTAGATAAGCGTTGTAAGCCCTCTTTTCTATATTATTTAAATTGTGGCGGAAGCATGGAGTGGGGTTTGGCGTTCTCGGTCAGTGTTAATCTAAAATGAAATACAGTTCTTTTTTACTTACTAGCCATTGTTATATACTTTGTTCTTAACATTTATATCTTAAAAGTCTTGTTCTATGTTTTAATTTTTTTCCACTAAACTGCTAAGTGGTCTACAATTCCAAATTTGTTCTCTCCTTGTCCTTTTACTTTTGTTTATTCTTTCACTCCTTCATAAGATAACTTTTAGTCTCAATATTATTTCATTTTTTCTTAAATTCACAAGTCACAATCATATGTTTATAGCACATCATACCATATCTTTCTGCTATGTAGATTGTTCCAGCAGTAGAGTTAGAATCTTTTTTCTTAATTAATTTATTCACTTTATATCCTGATCATAGCCCCTTTCCTCTGCCTGTCTCCTCCCCCCATTCCTCAGAAAAGGGGAGCCACACCCACCCGCCCACCAGCCCTCAACAAATCTGAGCTTATCTCCTTCTCCTGTGGCCTGGTGAGGCATCCCTGCCAGTGGGGAGTGATCAGAAAACAGGCAATCTAAGTCCATGCCAGAGACAACCCTTGTTCTCCTTACTAGGGAGCCCACATGAAGCCTGAGCTTCCCATTTGCAACATCTGGGTAGGGGACCTCGGTCCCCTCTATGCACGGTCCTTGGTTGGTGCTTCTGCTTCCACAGGCCCCTGGGCCCTGGTTAGTTGGCTCTGTTGGTCTTGTGGAGTTCTGTTACTTCCAGGTCCTTTTATCCATCCTGCCACTTTCCCACAAGACTCCCTACGCTTCACTCAATGTTTGGCTGTGAGTCTCAGCATCTGTTTGGATCTACTGCTGCATGCAGAGTCTTTATTCTCTCCCTTCTCTATGGCAAGATGCTTGATGATTGTGAGTCTGCGTTATTGACTTGCAGCAGATCACTAGAACTCACTTCTTTTATGCCATTGAAACTTTGTCCTGGGCAATTTGTCCTAATTCTTTAACCTCTGGTCTCTGGTAGCTGCCACTGTCCTTTCTGTTCCATGAGCTTGACTTTGTCAGATTCTACACATAGGTGAGACCACTCAGTTTTATCTTCCTGAACTTGCTTATTTCGTTTAACATGGTACCCCCTCACATGTTGCCGCAAATGTCAGGTGATCTTTTTTGAAAGGCTGAATAGGACTCTATTTTGCATATATACCCCTCTGTATGTATGCCTGTGCCTATTCGGAAAGATCTCATATTTTGGCTACTGTGAATGACACTACAATGAACTTGGAAGTGCAAATATTTCTTCAATATATCAATTTCAGTTGCTTCGGATATATACATAGTAGTTGCATTACCAGATCAAATGATAGCTCTGCTTTTGGTTTAGAAAGCTCTGTAGTATTTTGTACAATTACTATGCTTATTTACATTCCCACCAACAGTATAAGAAACTCCTTTTATTCTTCTTTCTCCTTAGCACCGGCTTTTAAGTAATAATTATTCTGACCGGTATGTTAACTGTGGCTCGGGGGTGGTGGTGCATGCCTTTAATCCCAGCACTCAGGAAGGCAGAGGCAGGCAAATCTCTGAGTTTGAGGCCAGCCTGGTCTACAGAGTGAGTTCCTGGACAGCCAAGGCTATATAGAGAAACCCTGTCTCGAAAAAAAAAAAAACAACCAAACAAAAGATGCTGACTATAATTTTAATTTGTATTTACGTAATGATTTGTGATATTGAGTATTCTTTTCATGAATCTATTGGCCATTTGGATGTCTCCTTTGAGATACGTGTTCAAGCCCCTTGGCTGGTTTTAAATGTCTGGATTCTCTTGCTGTGTTTTGTTTAATGTTGACCTTTAATGAAATACACTCCATCCAGTATCTAGTTGTCTCTACACTGAATTGTCACAGTAGCTGTAAAGAAACTTTTGCTTTTGTGTCTATTGTTGCTCAGTTGACTGTTCATTTTGTTACTGTACAAAGAAACCCTTGCTCATACAATGCCAAGAAGCTTTGCCCATGTGTTTACTCCTAGTAGTTTTACAGTGCCACATATAATGTTTAAATCTCTCTCCTTTTGAATTTTGTGTATATTGTGTGAAATAATCCAGGATCCACTTCAAATATATAGCTGGTTTTCCAAATACCATTTTTTGAAGAATTTTCCCCTCTTGATTAGTTTCTTTAGGTGTACAGATTTTAGTAGGTTTATCCTATATTATATGTCTATATGAGTGAGTATATACTGTGTGCATCTTTCTGCTTCTGGGATAACTCACTCAGGATGATCTTTTCCAGATCCCACCATTTACCTGCAAAGTTCATGATTTCCTTGTTTTTTATTGCTGAGTAATATTCCATTGTGTAGATATACCACAATTTGTGTATCCATTCTTCAGTTGACGGGCATCTGGGCTGTTTCCAGCTTCTGGCTATTATGAATAAAGCTACTACAAACATGGCTGAACAAATGTCCTTATTGTGTACTTGAGAATCTTTTGGATATATGCCTAGGAGTGGTATAGCTGGATCTTGAGGAAGCGCTATTCCTAGTTGTCTGAGAAAGCGCCAGATTGCTTTCCAGAGTGGTTGTACAAGTTTACATTCCCACCAGCAGTGGAGGAGGGTTCCCCTTTCTCCACAACCTCTCCAGCATGTGTTGTCTCTTGAGTTTTTTATCTTAGCCATTCTGATTGGTGTAAGGTGAAATCTTAGGGTCATTTTGATTTGCATTTCCCTGATGGCTCAATTCCTATCCAGAAAGGCAAAGAGGCTGGACATCAGAAGAAGGAGAAAAGAGGGAACAAGTCAGGAGCCTGACACAGAGAACCTCTGAGAAGCTCTGTCCTGCAGACTATCAATGTAGATGCTGAGACTTATGGGCAACCTTTGGGCAGAGTGCAGGGAATCTTAGGAAAGAAGTGGGAAACAGTAAGATCTGGAGAGGACAGGAACTCCACAAGGAGAGCAACAGAACCAAAAAATCTGAGCACAGGGGTCTTTCCTGAGACTGCTATTCCAACCAAGGACTATGCATGGAGATAACCTAAGACTCCTGCACAGATGTAGCCCATGGCAGTTCAGTATCCAAGTGGGTTCCATTGTAATAGGAACAGGGACTGTCTCTGACATGAACTGATTGGCCTGCTCTTTAATTACCTCCCCCTGAGGGGGAAGCAGCATTACCAGGCCACAGAAGAAGACAGAGCAGCCATTCCTGATGAGACCTAATTGACTAGGATCAGAAGGAAGGAAAAGAAGTCCTCCCCTATCAGTGGACTTGGGGAGGGGCATGCATGCAGAGGGTGGAGGAAGGGAGGGATTGGGACTGAAGGAGGGAGAGAACCACAGGGGGGATACAAAGTGAATAAAGTGTAATTAATAAAGAAAAAACAAAAACAAAAAAAGAATTTTTCCTTTGTGTGATCTTGGCACGTATGTGGAAAATCACATGATGAGTACAAGTCTGCTCATTTCTAGACTCTGATTCCAGTGGTCAGTGTGTCTGATTCTATGTCAATGTCATGCTGTTTTGATTACTGTAACTTCAGTGTATATCTTGGTGTCTGATAGTATGATAGCTTCAGCTTTGTTCTTTTTGCTCAAGATTGCTTTACCTTTCAGAAAGCCTTTTTATGGTCCTTTGCACATTTTTAGGATTATTATATTATATCTAGTGCTGTGAAAATGATGCTGGAATTTGATAGGAAGCCTACTGAATCTGTGGATTCCTTCGGTTGATGTGGACATTTAAAAAGTATTTCTAACCAAAGAGCACAGTATGTCTGAATTGAGCTATTTTCATTGACACTTTATTAGCATTTTATATTTCTGATACATTCTTTAGCTATTCGTTTAAAGTTATATCTAATCACTAGATTTTTGTTAGCGTTACAAGTGGGGTTTTTTAAATTAAGTTCTTTTGTTGGGGGCTGGAGAGATGGCTCAATAGTTTAGAGCACTTGGCTGCCCTTCCAGAGGTCCTGAGTTCAATTCTCAGCAACCACACGGTGGCTCATAACCATCTTTATTGAGATCTGATGTCCCCTTCTGGCATGTAGGTGTACATGCAAATAGAGCATTCATATACATAAATTAATAATATTTAAAAAATTTTTTTGTTGTTGGGATATATCAGCCCTCCCGGTATTAGACTACTACTCTGTATTTGGCAACTTTATTGATTCAAAACTAACAGTTTTTAGTGACACCGTTAGGGTTTTCTATTTGTACGATCATAGATAATTTCATTTCTATTCCTGGTGAACTCTTTCCTTGTCTCAGCACACCCCTGCTCTCTAACTAGGTCTTCCAGAACTGTGGAGAAAAGGATGGAAGTAGACATCCTTGTCTAGAGCCTTCTCTTAGGAGGACCTTCAGCTTTTCACAGTTGAATGTGATGCTGGTTTGGGCTTAACATCATTATTGTGCTGTGGTACATTCTATTTGTGTCTAACTTGTCAAGAGTTTCTAATGATAAAAATGTTGACTGTCGGCTACTGGTGGTGGCACATTCCTTTAACCCCAGCATTGGGAGACCGAAGCAGGAGGACCTTGAGTTCCATACCAGCTTAAGTTAAATATGAAAAAAAAAAAAAATCTTAAAAGAAAAACATTGAAAAGACATTGGATTTTGTCTAATGCCTTTCTTTAAACTTTTGTGGTGATAACCTGGACTCTTTCTTATTTCATTAACATAGTATATTTTATTGTTGCAACATTAGAACATAGATATGTACTGATTTTAATTTCCTTCTTGAAACTATTAAAATTTACTAAAATAAATCATCACATATTTTATTCTTTCATCAACCTTAACTTTTATCACTGATTGTTGAGGTGTTTATGGGCTGGGATTTTAAGGGATGGGCAAAATCTAAGATATGATATATAAGGAGTTTCTAATTTGATTTTTAACTTCACAGATGGAAAAGGTAGAAGCAGACCTAACTAGGTCCAAGTCACTTCGTGAGAAGCAGTCCAAGGAGTACCTGCGGCAGCTGGAAGATGTCAAGCAGAAATATGAACAGCAGGTCAGCCCTTCAGTTTCATTTTATCAGTTAATTTTTAATATGAATATAGTCTCTCTTGTAATCATCTTTCTGTATCACAGATATGTCTGTAAAATAAAAATATGACCATTAATATATTTGGAATATGTAAAGTAATATAATGTAGTGAAACCCACAAGAGTTTTAATATTCTACCAAAGCCTATTCTGATCGCTTGCTCTTCTCAATATTTAATTGAAAACTTTATTGTTATGCTTGACGTCCCCCTAGCCCTAGGATGGCTTACTCAGTCATTTACAGGATAGCACTGGGCACATGCTATGTGCCAGTCTCTGCTAACAGCACTAGGCACTGACAAAAAGACAAGAATCTTTTGTTGATGCACTCTAGATTTTGGTGGACAATCAATACATGAATAAAAGTTAAACTGATTCTGAAAAGTGAGTCAAGAACAAGAAATCATCCTATAGACTTTGCCAAAGGCAGGCAGGAGTCTAGTCATCAATATGGAAAAATCTGGGGAAGCCCTGAATCCCTGCTAAGAATCTTCTGGAGCCGCCAAGAGGTCTTTGAGGTACGACATTCTAGGCAAAGAGATCAGCCAGTTATAAAAACCCAAGAAGAGAGTAGGCTTGGAGGGGCAAATGGGACAGTAAGGCCAGGTCAGGCAAAATGTAGGAAGAAGGTTCCTAGCTGTGGGAGCAGAGGAAATAGACCCAAATGCTGGTGGAAGGAATTTAGATTTTAAGAATCAAAAGTTTTTCTCTTTTTAAAAGTCTCCCAGAATAGTTAACTATTATTAAATTTTTAGTTATCTGATTTGCTTGTCCTTAACATCTGGAAAAGCATTAACTGGATTTTTAACTCAGGTTAATTAATTTATTTCTAAAGATATTTGAATCTTTGAAATCTTAAAATAAGAATAATTTTTAAATTATACTTTAAGCTCCATTAAGCAGGTGTGTATCAAAACTAATTAATCCCTTATGATCATTGGATTTTATTTCCTCTACCAATTAGTGGTTTATTGATATCAATTAGTGGTTTATTTGAATTCAGTAAAAAACAAGCCTGATCTGGTATGTGTCCTGAGGGTTGTTGTTTTAATCTTAATATATTAGTAAAATTAATTGCCTGAGTTGCTTCCACAGGGATGGTGTAATTGTATATAGTTAAAAAGAGAGTGCGTGTGAGTTGGTTTTTCTTGTTTAGAATCTGACAATCCTGCTTTGTTCTGAACAGGAAACCCATGCCCACCCTGTAACATCTAACCTGTGTTCAAGGCTTTTGTCACACTTTGCATCTTTTTAGCCTGCATCATCTGTTGTGATTTCTCCAGAACTATAGAATAGAATCTAGCACATCATTTTGCACCTTAAATCTATTCCTTATTGTAAATTTGTCTCTTGTAACTCTATATTATTTCTAGTTGGGAAATGATTTTCTCAGAGTCCCAAACTAAACTGTGTATTAAAGCAGTAAGAACAGTGAAATAAGTAGACTGGGTCAGTGGGACAGAGGAGAAAGGAAACCTCCTGTACAAAGTATTTACACATGTGTACAAAAGGTGTGTGTGCATGCATGTACATGCATGTTTGTGTGTGTATGTGAAGATGATTTGGAGTAATGAAAAGTTGCAAATAAAATAAGTCACACTAAATCCATCTGATGCAATACTATGTCACCATATGAAGCTTGATGAGAAGAATAAAGTACATTTTAGACACCTTGTAGGTTATCTCATTTGTGCAAAATTAAATGACATGAATCCATAACACTAGTTAGATATTTTTATCAGATTTTTAAAAGTTGCACAATAGAAGAATGACAGGGTCAATTTCTGATTAGTATGTAATGGCATCTAAAAGTTATTCTGAGACATGCCAACTTAATAAGGTGTATTTCTACTGGAATTCACTTGGTTTAATGAGCCGTAAAGGATATTTTCCACAATTCTAACGCTGTAAGAGAGGTTGCTCGGGAACATAGCTCCGAAAATGGAGTATAGAACATTACATTAAGAAACAGAACCTGGGATTAGAGAGTCACAGAAAAATGTGGGGATATATGCAACATACATTTTAGGAGGGTATTTGTCAACGTGATGACATTAAAAACTTTGAAATGTTTTCTTAGTGGAAATTTTTATTGGCTTGAAAAATAGTCCCCAGAAGCCAGTCCATAAATTCCATTTGTTTACTGTGAAAGATTATCATGAGAAATGATAGTGCATTAGACTGTATATGTCAGCATGAGCATGCCCAGAACTAACCCAACTAAATAACCTCTTTCCCTCTTTGACCTAGGAAGCCCAGTAGGTGCTCAGGGAAAGGGGAGTAGAGTTGCCTGTCTGTTTTTCATGAGCTACCTGACAAGAGCCATCATGGAGACACTATGAGAAACTTCTCAGTTAAGTGACAGCTCACAGAGCCATTTTTAAATGATTTGTGTCAACCTTAACTGAGACAGTTAAGTGTCTTTTAGTCACTAATGGTGATTTAGAATCAAGCTTCTTGAAGTTGAGAATTTGGACAGGGTTTTACTGTGTAGGATAAAAACCCTCAATTTTATGATGCTTTAGGTAAGTTAGAATTAAATAGATTATTTACTGGGATTTAATATAAAATGCTGGACTTTAGTTTAGAATAAGAGCTATAAAATTTTGAGGGTAAAGATGACAGAAAGAGTCAGAGGCCAGGGAACACAGTGACCAGGGGCATAAAGACAGTCGACCAGAAACACATAAATGGCTATGGCCCTAGACTATTTGTGTCTTATGTCATGTAAGGAGTAAAAATTCAGGTCATATTCATGTAGGACACTGAGAAATTTGAACATGTTCAATAAGACATTTCCAGAATATAGAAAGGTCTGGAATTATGTGAGAGGGAACATTTAAAGGAATAGATGATCTTGCCAAGAAAAAAACAATACTAAAGAGAGTTCAGTATCTTCTATTTTTGCTGTAGGCTGACAGCTCTCAGAACCTTTTTTGGGCCAAGCCCTGCTCTCTCGATGTTCTGTCTTCATGTTTGTCTATATGCTCACCTTCAGTGCTCTTCGGAGGCAGGTGTCTCTGTTCACCTTCTCATCTTCTAGGAGTAGAATGCAAGGCATGTCCAGTTATATGACTGGCCGTAGTTCCACACTGTGAGGAGGTGCCAGGTTAGAACTGGAACCTGAGCTGTTCTCATAACCACTCTAAACACGCTGCCGGGAACTTTTAGGAACAGAAATTAGAACCCAAATGCAGATGGCCACATGAGCAGTTGGAATTGTTTCAAGGTGACATTCTATTGGAGAACTATTCAAATGTGCACTACATCTATGAGAAAGTATGTTTCCCAGTGTCGAGCGTGTTCAAGTATCTGTTGGGAGGATTGTGAGGATGTGTTGTGCATTTGGGGCCATCGGTTTGTGAAGTCCCTTCTGTATTGAACACTGTGATTTTCTGCTTAGCTGGTCTCAGCCTCTCCATGAGAGATGCAGGCTTGTCTTGTGCTGTAACAGACTCCTGCATCTGCTTCACCATATTGTCTCAAACAGCCCTTCGACCTACCTTCCCAGCTACCATTCAAATCAAAGTGCGACAAGTTTTCCACTTTTTCATTCTACTTTTCTGCAAAGATTAAACATTTAGACACAGTGACTATAGCATCTCTCAGCACCCCCAAGCCCTTGCCAACCCCTGGGGTGTTGAGCAAATATGGTTGTGGGAGGCTCCTTACATGCTTCCTGGAGTGTTGGATTCACATGATTATTTTACCAAAAAGCATGTGGCTTTACTGTTGAGATAATATTCACATTAAAACAAACATAGACTTTCCTGCTTTGTAAAATTCAAAATTCTCACTACCTTTTAACATGAAATTGGATGTTTCAAAGAAGCTTTTAGTTTGTAGTCTACTTTGGGCTATGGCCTCAGATCCCCATGGGGGCATTGGTCATCTTTGCTGCTGCTGGGAGGTTCTTCGGTGGCAAGGTTTCAGAAACACCTCCCCAGTCAGACCTTGTGCTTTTTAATGGAGGAACTGACACGCAGAGGAAGGGAGTGACTTGAGCCTTCTGGGGCCTTCATTTTCCCCCCCGGGCTTGGTTTTTGAGCTCCTCCCATGTAGAAAGCATCTTGCTGGGAGCTATACTGATGTTAGAAAAGCCCAGAACAAATATCTTGGGCCAAATATCTTGGGCAGGGTATACAGAAATGGAAAGGGAAACATCAAACACATGGGATAAATACAAATATCCTGTAAAGCCCAAGCTTTCATGAGGATTTCCTGCTCCTTTCCTGTATAAGCCACTGGAACAGAAAGACAATTCTAATTGTCTTTTCACAGACTTCATTCATGCTGGAGACAACCAGCAAGTTGGGCACGCTAGGATTTCCTGAACCGTGGAAATCTGTTTTTGGCAATTCTATCTTATCATTCTTTAATCGTCTGTGTATATCTTTCCTTTATAGTACAAAGCCTTTAAAGAGAAATGATATTCAGCAGCTAAACAAGTGGTCACAGTTTTCAAAAAAATAAGTATTTATTGTGAGTGATTGTGAAAAACAAACATGGGAGCCATCCTCTAGCAAGGCCATGATTTGAATAAAAAAAACATCTTGGCAACAAACACAGTGGCAGAGACAAACTGGCCATTCTGCAAGATATGCAAATGGCAAGTTTTCAGTTAAGATCAGTTGTGACATTGAAGGAAGCTGTTTATTCTACATTGAATGAAAGAGGGAGAGATTGAGATTCATTCATTCTGTGGCCATCAGTCAAAGAAAGTATAGACATGTGGGCGGGGCCTCATCAAAGATAGAGTTGCTTGCTGGAGCAGAGGGGCAGGGGCCCTACTGTAAGCAAAGCTGGAAGGGGTGGCATCTTAGAGTAACACACTTAGGAGCGACTTGTCACTGGAGGTGTGTCTTTGTGAGATAGGGCAGGCTGTTTATGGAGACTAGAGGATTACAGGAGCTGAAGAGTTGATTGAAGTGGGATTACTGCAGTTACTTTGGTGGTTTCCAGAAT